AGTGTATAATTCAAGGTTGCCTTTAAACCTTAGACCTTGTTTATTTTCTATTTAGATAAATGTTGGAAAGGCAGTAGTAGGAGAAATACAAGTTTGCAGGCCAGAGAGTGTGTTAGTGTGGTGGTCAGTTTAGGGATATCACTGTATAAAATGTTACATTAAATAAAATTAGAACAAAGGGTGGTCAGATAGTACAGTACCCACAGACTTTTTCAGTCACCATGAAGCTTTTCCTCTCTTAAAATGCAGCAAAATCTGTTCACTTAGAAGCAAGAAAAAATTTCTGTAAGTGATGGATTTAACACACTGGATAACCTTTTCATTAGACAATTATGTGTTTCAGTCCACGGGATATGAAGTGTATATTTTTTGTAGTACGTTTTCAGATGTCAATGACCCTATTTCATGGATATAAGTCACACTGTGAATTTAAAGATCTGAGGAAAATCAATAGATGAGACATTGAAGACTCTTATATCAACTGAAAATATTTTTTGTGGTTTTTTCCTCTCTCTTTTTTAATCTTCTTGCTGAAAGCTCAACCCAAACATCAAAAAACATTGAAAGACTTGGATAATAATTACTAGAGTCTTGGATTTTACTGTAAAGAGCTTTTGTATCCCAGCAGTATTTGAAGTCCTAATCCACTAGGTACAATACTTTTGGGTAAGACACCAGTAATGTGAGAGAGAGTTAATCCATGGAGCAATAAAAAGTATTGCTCTACATCAATATTGAAAACCTTCTCTTCCCTTCACCATCAATAAAATCCAAACTGTACAGACATAGCTCACATTGAACTAAGTAATTAACAGAATTGCATTTATAATTACATGTGTGTGCATTTGGTGTTAATAGCAGGGGAGATATTTTTCCAAACATTCCTTTCGTTAGTCTGTTAATCAGAATTGACTGGACTATCCTTTAATATGTTCTCCCCATAATTCCCAAACATTCACTTTGTTCCTACCTGTCTCTCAGCTTTCCCACAGCTTGAATGTTCAGTGTTGGATAGTTGAAATTTTCAAAGCAAGCCCCAAACTCAGAAGTGCATGATTGGGCATAAAAACACACGTTTCTCAGAAAAAAAAAAACCCTGGCTCACCGTATGCACTGATGATACGCAATCCAACAGGTTTCATCCTGAAAAAAGATGCCATTTATGAATACTTCAGTGATTGTAGGGATACAATTTTATATTTCCTTAGTAAAGCTGTTTAGGATTTGCAAACAGCCAGAGCTTTGGAGTTCTCTGCTTAATTCTCTCCTGTGCATGGATAGAAAATATGGAAGTCTCTTTGATAGTGAAACATGAGAGGAAATGAAGAATACAACAAACTGGAACAACAGCCCCAATCAAACCATCACACATTTCAAGGACACTTACCCTGCTACTTAGTCAGAGTTAATAATCATTTAACCTTTTTGAATGAACAAAACATCAGAAAAAATGGCAATTCTTAATGCAAAATAAATTCAAACAGAAAATTGAGACAAATCAATCAGCGCAGGTATGCAGAGTAAATATTTATCAAATATTCATTCAGTTTGTTTCTACTCAAGTAGAATTGTGCACAAAAGTTGGTAAGAATTCGTCTTAAGGCTATGTTCAGCTTAATGATACATATGAGAATGACTGTGCATCTCCAAAGTTGCTGACAAGGTAGTTAAAAAGTTAAAACCTTCTGAAAAATCAACCCTAAGTCTCAGACTCAGTTGGCAAAGCATTTTGAGTCAAAAGTTTGCCTGGGCTTTTCTTCTGGTTTGAAGAAACTCCTCCTATTTAACTTTCAGCTTTAATAAAGTTCTGTAACAATTGTGTTCAGCTCATAATGTGCCATCCTGCTCTCAGGTACTTCAGTTTTCTGAAAGGCCACTAGAGGTACAGGCAGGTGCTGGTGCTGCCTAACAGGTCATGCTGGGAACTCTGGACAACATGGATTGCCATAAAGCACTTGAAAGGTACACAGAGTTTAGTGCTGCACATTCTTCCAGCTGAGAATTTATAATGCAAAATTCCATGTTGGGACTCAAGCTGTATAACACAATAAAAAGATGCCCTGGATTTGCAAGGGCCATGAAGAACAGCCTGAGCATCAGACAGAAGTGGATGATATTAAGGAGGAACATCTCAAACATCTCTGTGAATGAGAAAACTGTGACCAAGGAAGATGAAGTAACTTGCTTAAGGTCAGAGTAGGACTCTTCTCCCTGTGCATCATCTCTGTTATACTCCTCACACAACATTTCCTATATTTTTATATGCCCAAATTACCCACTTTTGCTTATTCAGTTGACCTAATAACATCTAGATACTTTTCAGTATTGATTGGTGTAAATGTGGCTCGGTGGCAAAATCATTACTTTTTTAATCTTGGAACTGCCAGCCCTTACTAATCTAAGCTGAAATTCAGTTGCTTCGATTAAGGACTGCCATTCCTAATTGCTTTTAAATGTTGCTTGGATGGTTCTAGTTCAAGAAGTTTAGTTCTTCAGCAATATTTCGTAGTTCTACACTCTTAGTAATTAATTAAAAGTCTATGTTCTGAGACATGACCACAGCGAGAAAAGGGAAACGATGGAAAATCCTGGAACAAAACCAGAACTCGAATGATAACTTTCAGAAAATAGTGGCCTAATGGCTTTCTGTGCTGCACAGGAGCTGCATCTTTATGTCCATTCATTTTGTGCATTAAACTGATCCAAGCATTTTGTGCATTAAGCTGGTGGCAAGCAGAACTGAGTTTGCCTGCCTACCCTCACATCTATTCATGCAGCTCTGGAGGAAAGGTCACATAAGGATAATATGTCAAAAGGGTATAATTAAGATTCAGAAAGATTAATACCTGTGGTATTTAGTGAAATTGCCTTCTAGTGGAATGCTCATCTATTACTTTGATATTTAACATTTCTGCTGTTAAAATGTTAGTGCTTGTAAAAGTACGAAATTGGCAGCAGACGTTTGGTTTATATACTCTTTTTATACCAAAAAAGAACCTCACAGGAGAAGCAATCAGATTGTTTTTTTTTTTTTTCACAGGTATTCTTCTGTGTGAGTTTTTCAGTATTTCCATTATAAATTTGTATCTGGTAAGGTTATTTGAGTTATGTCAATCAGCTTGACAAGTGGTGTCAGTTTGGGAGGGTGGAGGAGAACATGCCGGTAACTGTATCTGAGATATGTGGAACGGTCTCCAGTGAAATGAAAATGATACATCTGTAGGATGAAGAGGAATAAATGTTATTTAATTCAACATGAAGAGAAAGATCTTTTTAACATGATTCAGCACATACTTAATACATAATTGAAAGCAGATGAGTAGCCTCACTGGAGTTTGTGGTATGAGCTGCAGTTCCTCCAACTATTCCAGTTACTATACAAACACATAAAAGATGGCACACTTCCCAAAAAGTTCAGCTAAGGTGAGAAGACTGGGGCAAACTGACACCACAGAGCAGGTAAAGTTAAAATAGTAACTAGACAGGTATCAACAGAATGAAGGCATAACTTTTTTTCCCATACTCATTATGAGCATTACAAATAGGGGTTTTTTTTATGCATTTCCTCCAAGTCTAAAAATATACGCCCAGTACACTGCTGAAAATTATAGCACAACAAAATGGAATGAAAATGGGCATTTTTTCCCCAGAATTCTCGTCCATTTTTTTAATCTTGAGCTTCTAAAATAAATGGAATTTTTGCTTTATTGCAAAACAGATCCTGCAAGACATTTACATGAATCATCCTTCTACAGATGGAGCTGATAATTAAGTGAGTCATAGGTAGAGAACTTTTAGATTTAGTCAGTAAAACTTCTACATGACTTTGCTACAAGTTTAACAAGTCAAAGTTTAGAGTATTGGCAGTACTAAATATGCTCTATGACTTGTTGTGTGACAAAACATGTGTGCCCATTAAATTAAGAAGTTCCCATTAGTGTAACAATAGGATCTTAATTTGCATTCCAAGCAAGGAAATTCAGAACTGTCACTGACATCACCACTAAAGTCGTGTAAGAGTTTACAAGATGACAGCCCAGAATTTCTGCACTTCTGAAAAGAGTATAATTACTGTGAGTGTCATATTACTACTTCATGCATTTATTTGCGGGCTCACTTTATTTACAAAATTACAAGTATGTTCAGTTAGTGTAATTAACTTCAGTTAGTGAGTGTCTGTCCATCTTGGCCTGGGCCTGACTGTGCTTCAGCTGAGCACAGATGGAAGGTCAAAAGCTTCAGAATACTTCTGTTTTAAAGGAACGTTCCATAAATATATTCCAAAGCTTTGGAAAGGCCTTTGTACTCAGCTGTCATGTAGGAAAATAATTTATTTACTGGAAGAGTTTTAAGTTTTTCTCATACTGGGAAGAAGTGTTCAGCCTTCTAAAACTGAAATACAACTTCTGATTTCTCTTGTGATTCTGAAAGCTGGATAAAGGTATGATAATTACTTCACATAATCACATCATAAGCCTTGCCAATATATTTAGTAAACAGCTAAGATGGATATAGGCTAGACAAGGTGCTGTAGGAATTTGGAAGACAGTATCTTAAGAATTTTCAAAAAAAAGCATTATTTAACTTACTGGAGGTTTCATTGTGTAACCCTGATGGTTGAATATTGTGTGGTAATAAGTTCTTTTTCTGATCATTGAAAACAGATGTGAAATCAGCAACCAAAACAATTACTTAAATGTCTCCTAAGACCCTGACAAAGCTAATAACTTTGTATTCACATAAAATACAAGGTTATCCCTCAGGCTATTTTGAGAAGAACGTGCTCTTTGTTCATAATTGTGCTGTAAAGGCTCAGGGGCCAGAAATATGGTGTTATTTGGGTTCCTTGTTTGTTGGATTTTCATACTTGAGTATATTGTCCTCCTGAGTCTATTAGAATTATTGACACAGCAGTTTGTGGGATCACACCCAGAGGTGTGATGTTACTGCGTTGCTGTGGATGTTACATTCTAGACTCACTTTATTCTTCTATATCTTCAGATGAATCTTGCTGTAATCTGCAGGTCTCCTCTACATATTAAGAGCTGCAGTGTAATGCAATTCACTGCACTCACCACTACTGTGAGCCTGCATTTTAGAAAGTGGATTATACTCAGGGTTGCCTTCAGAGCCACAGCTGCTGCTTCCACAGGAGTCTTCCTGAGCCCACAGATTTCTTGGCGTGGCTCATGAGAAGTTTCCCATTAAGCAACAGGATGTTGTTTTGTAACTACAAGGCATTGCTTACTTTAAAATGTATGGAAGTTACTTATGCATCTCTTATGGTTTACTGGAAGAAAGTAACGAAAAGGGAATGAGTATTAAGGACTAAGAGTGAAGGGAGAGAGTAAGCTGAGAAATGGGAGAGATGGAAGTTTGTTTGGAATAAATGCAGGTGTGCTGTTCAGGATTCTTGCAGCTGGGTGTAATGGAGTGTTGTGACTGCTGAGGCTTCAATGGAGATCATGGCTGAATGGGCAGAAAAGGTGGCAAAATACTGGAGGTGGGGTGGGATGAGGGATCAGCTCTAACTGGAAAAGGCCAAGGCAATCATTAGAGCTCAAAGTTAATTACAACTGATGGGTGCTGAAGATACAGAGAGGGTTAAAGGTTTTGCAGCCCTTCTTGCTGCTGTTAATGTCAGTAATTTTGGAACAGAAAGGACATACAAGGATGGGGTTGTTGCCTGGAAGCTGTTCTGGACTCTGTGTTACCCCAAGAGTATAAAAGGCCAGACGTGCCTTTTTCTTTCTGCTGCCGGACAGAAATGTTGGAGCTGACTCAACACTTTGCCCCTCTGGGACTGCCAAATGCATACAGTAAAGCAAATGATCAAAAAACTTGTTGAATTTTGCTTTAATTTGTCAGCATCTGATGGGAAAATAGTAAAATCTACTGGACAAAACTGAAAAAAAAAGTTTAAGTTTCATCAAGTCTTTACTTGAGCAGAATTTCCATTGAGAGAGCAGTAAAAAACATCTTTATTTTAGCAAATTTGATCTCTCTGAGAAGTAGCTAAAATAGAAACTCAAGCTGAGTTTTTAATTGCCAGATATTTGCAGAACAATAATAAGTTCTGTAAGTACACCTGCTGGGGTAATGGATTTTTTTACCCTTCCTTTTCAAGTAGAAACAAGAAATACTATCCCAGGCATCTTAGCCATTCAGAATCACATATGTTTACCTGCACATACCTAGGTTTTCTATGTATGCAGCAACTACTCTGAATTACTTGAGTCCTGGCTGGTTTCTCATTGCCCCTCTTACCTACTTAATTAACTAGTTGTGTCACTTAGCTCGTTATAAACCTCTTTTTTTTTTTTTGTGGCAACAAAGGCAATTACACTGAAGACTTAAGAAGCATGCAGAGCATTTTTGTCACTCATGAAGGCATGATTTGCCTTTGTAAACTGCAGGTATCAAAGCAGCTTTTCTATTCTGTTTGGACACACAGCGTAGTAACAGGGGGATAAGAGGCAGCTGTGCTTCAGACCACATGAGGTAATTTGCAGACACATTTTAATTGCCTTTTAGAGAGCATGAAGGAGTTCCAAATAGTCTAATGAGTTCCAGCAAACACCTGTGAAATGCTTTTAGCCCACCGTGTAAACCAGAAATTTAGAAAGAAATAAAGCACAAGTCTGGCATGTGTATCCTAATGGAGGTTGGAGAGGAAAAAATATGTTTTCTTAAGTATTCACCCCATTCTCTGGGACGGAAATGAAGACAACAAACCATTTTATATTTTCATACCAACAGTTAAAGAGACAAATTTCAGGAAATGGTCTTTGTAGAACAGTTACTGTAGGAGCCTTAGGAGTAGAGGCTTGTTTGAGGTTGAATTATAAAATAAGTTTCAGTGTATAAGTCTATTTTTAATCATTATGTTGTAACTCAGCAAAGCAATTATGGTCCATCTTAATCTCAAGTGTATGGGACTGTAACCACTTCAGTCAGAGGTGTTCTGGAGTGCTTTTGCTCCCTTGGGGCTTAAAAATGAGTGGAATCTCATTGTAAAGATCCTGCACATGAGTTAATACTGACTGTATGTATGCCTGTGTAGTGTCTGTGTGCAGGTATTTTTGTTGAAATTGTGGATTGGAAACCTCTGATGATAATGAATTTGATGTTTATGTTCAACATTTTAACAGTTTAATGGAAATAGCACCTGAAATGCCCACTCAAGTTGATCCTTGAAGTGGATATGTGGGTGACACGAGTTATTTACCCCTGTTACGCTTCAGCTCTTTGAAATACAATTTTGAAATACACCACTATCAAGACTGCCTTGAAATTTTGAATGTGCAAAGACAAGAGATTTTTTTCAAGTTGATTATTCGGAGAAAACATCCAGAAATTTAGAAAAGCTATTCCCAACCCAATACATTTGTAAGCCCAGGGAAGGGAGACATTGTGGACATTGTCATGTGGTGGCTTGTTTTTCAAAACCTCTATTAGGAGGATTTGCAGAGGGAAATATTTCTGAAATTTCTTTCTTTGGCATTTAAAAAGGCTTAACAGTAACTGCCTTTTTGCCTTCAAGAAATTCAGCAAGTTGATGGAAGTTATAAAAGTTGTACATTGAACATACAGTAGAAGAATATCGATTTGACGAGAAAAAGTGTATGTTTGACACTTTGCATTTCATCATTTGAACTTGCAAGAGTGATTTGTGGCATGCACTAATGTTGTCTTAGGCCTCTTTGGAAATGTTACAGTTCTCAACTGATGAGAACACTGAATGTTTGGCTTCATAGAGAAAGGAAGGAAAGTTTGCTGTTTGAGTGACGTGAATGAAATGACAGTTCATCTCTGGAATAAGACATTGTGCTGTGAGGCTGCTGTATCTTTACTTCCTTAGCAATGAAAAATTCCATTAAAAATAATCTCTGTTGCACATTTTGCCATAACACATATTCTTCCTCACTGGCAAGGACAAAAGTGTTCAGGGTGTAGGAGTTGAAAGAAAGACTTTATATGTGCAGTGCACAGTGTTACTTAGCAGAGATACCAAACTGAGGGAGAAAGTGTAGAATATCCATTCCTCTCTTCTGATTAATCCCTCAGGATTAGGAATTTCCTCTGTTTTTCAGATGAAGTTCAGACATGAGCAGGAGATAAAGTAATCCATTTTTCATTTCTGATGCAATAGAGGCAGACTTGAGAAAAAAAGCATTTCCCTATCATGTACAAATTATACAGTGCCTTAGATCTGGAATTTTTTGTGAAATTATTTAAGCTTTCTCTGGTTGTCTCAAAGGGGTTAAATAGATGCCATCAAGGAAGCACCAATGTAGCACTGAGGTGGTGACAGTCAGCATGTCAGAGAACTGGCAGCACAAAATCAACAGCTGCCTAACACAGTCACAGGGTAATCCAAAAATCTTGGGATGGGTGACACAAGGGCTGAATTAAGGACATTAATTATTAACTACTGAGCAGGAATTATCATTAAAGTTCCTGTTGAACAGCAACAAACTGCAGTATTGGGGATAAACCACAGAAACTGAAGGTTGGCCTCCACATATCAGATGTCGGTACTTCCAATAAAAGTTAGGAGAGCCTGGTAAAAATAAGCATTTCTTTCAGAAGTAAAATACTACATCCCCTTTTGCATATAGAAAAGTTTTTAAATTTAAGAATGAGTAATGCTTCATAATTTTGTGGAAAGAGAACAAGATCTATATTGACCATTGGAGATGATTAAAAGTGCAGAAGCCCTGTGTTCATACAAAGGAATTGAAGAACAAGAAGTTTTTCAATTATAGTCAACTCAAAGAATCTTCATGGGAAAAAACCCCAAACTTTTAAAATTCTATTTTCTAGAAAACTCTGTTTTATACTGAGTAACTTTTTGCTGACATTTTAAAAGGAAACAATCTGATTCACTTAAATTCTATTTAATCTCCATATGAAACATCTTTCACTTGCAATATTTTAATATATTTTGTTTCATTGTTAGTATAATTATTTAATATTACTTATCCTATTTATAATACTTCCAAGTTATTCCTGCTCAGCATTTCAGTCGTTTGCTGAAGCTGATTTAGACCTGATTTTCTAAGGTGTTTGCAGAAATACTGTCAATGATTTAATCATAAAACTCACACTGAGAAGTATGGAAGTTGCAAATAATACAGTAACATGGTAATAAACATCTGCCTGAGAACATTGCACATCATTTAAGTTAAGGCCTTGCAAGATCTATTCCAGGTACTCTAAAAATAATAAACTTCACTGGAAATAATAACAGCTGGGTTAACATTTTTATATTCATTCTATCCACACCCACCTCAGTTTCATTTTCCTTTCATATTTATCCACTTAGTGTATTCTTTTTTTTCTTCTCCTCTCTTCCTTCTCTGTGCTTTAAACAGATTCTTGCATATGAGGACTGTTCTCTCTGTTCTTGCTTAAGAATTGAGGAACTGCTATGAAAGATTCCTCTCTTTCATCCATGAATCTCTTTTGTTTACCCTCTCCTCCTTTTCTGGCATGTTTGAACATCTTTCACTGCTTTTCTCTAGATTTTGTAAAGCATCAAAGCACATTTTGCTCCAGCCATAGCTCTATATCTCCAAGAATTTTCTTTTATACTTCTAAGAGGGCTAAACACTGCATGACCATTACACTAAAATTATTCAAAATTTCATTGTAACATTATTTGAATTACAAGGATAAAGAAAGCCTAGTGTCCCACATAAGGAGACTGAAGCAGGGTGAGATTAAGTTTCAGTTTTAAAATTATCACTTTGACATAGCCCATACAAGCCATTTTTAGTATGGCTTTTAAAAAATCCTTAAAACTTACTCGTAGTATTGATTGGTGTTAGAGCTGTGCCTGATCACCAGCTCTGGGAGTTGTGCTTTCACGTGTCATTCACAGTCAAAACAGGGGTTTGAGGAGCTGCTCTAAAATAGCTTAACCTTTGTGAATAAAAACTATTCCCTGTGTGCCAAAGTAAACACCTTCTGATAGGTTTTATTTGCATTATGCACTTTGGGATGATTCCTGAGGAGAGGAATGTGTCTTGTTTGCACGGGAGTTCCTCACCATCTCATGGAGATCTGGCTCCAGAGCA